GTGGGGAAGAAGTGTCTTAAAGGAGGGCCCTGGTAGGCAGTTACTTGGAGTGGGCTGGGACAGCCAGTGTCTCCACAGCCCCCACTGATGCTGGGACACTATTAACTTCATCCATCTTCACGGTCCAGAGAGCTATGACCTCTCCCCAGGAGTGATTGTGGCCAGAGAGTGGCATGCAGAAGTGGCCCACAGGACCCCAAGGCCTGGCGGGTTCTGAAGGCCAAGGACGGGGCTGGGCGCCAGCAGGGAGGGGGCTCACACTCCAACAGAGGGCAGAGGTGTCCCTGGAGAGAGCAGGAGAGGGGGCTTCCTCCAGAAACCCGCTGAGCTATTGTTACACTTTCTGAGGCCAGGGAATGTTTCCAGGAGACTGTGACAACCAAAAATAATAATAATGCCCCTCCCCCAGCAGCAAGAATTCCAGAAAAAACAGCTGTTGCCGTTATCACCCGAGGAAAAAACAAGGTCAGGCACTGCGAAGATTTAATTTAAAGTGTGCCCCTGCAGCCCCCGCACCAGCCAGCATGCCCGCGTCCTGGCCACGCGCGGGTTCGGGGCCTGTGTGGGCCGTGGGGCACCCAGGCTGTCCCTGCAGCTGGGGACGGATAGAAGGCTCCCAGAACGGCGGGGGTCTCTGGTCTTTGGGATTTGAAGTGACCGCAGGCAGGCTGCCATTGTCCCCAGCTCCTGGGGGGCTAAATCAGTCTGCAACAAAGCTCCTGACAATGGGGGAGGGAGGCTGTCAGGAGAACTGAATCCGGCTTTAATCAGAAGTGATGGCAGAGTGAGCCTCGGGCCACAGCAAGGCGACTAAGACCCTTTTCCTAGTCAGGCCAGGTGCTCAGAAGTGGAGGGGATAGGGGACAGCTGTCCATGCTCGGAGGCAGAGGCAGGGTGGGCCCGTCTTGGAAGCCCCTTTCACGGACGCTCACTCCTGAGGGAAGGCACTGGCCGCCAGGCCGAGAGGGTACAAGTGTCAGAAGGTGTTGCACAGTGGGTGCTGGGGCCCCTCGTGCCGCCACTGACTGGTAGAACAGAGCTGTTTTACAGCAAGCAGCTCCGAAGACTCTGGGCAGCGCGGGTCTCCTGCACGTGGTGCAGCCCAGGGTGGGCAGAGGCTTCCGGCCCTTAGAGCCCAGAGATCCTGGGGCTGTGCCCAAAGATCCCTGGGTCGCAGCCCCGGGGACTTCACAGCGTGGGACGATGCAGAGGCACAGCTTGGCCTTGGCGAGGAGTGGTACCGTGTGCGCTCGGCCCACAAGGCTTCCAGGTCCCCAACCAGGTCGAGCTGTGTCCCGGCAGAAATCAACAAACGCCATTAATTCTCAGTATATTCCAAATTGGAGAGTTGGGGGTGAGGAGGAAGGGCGGAGGGGGGAGGGGACGGGCTTGAACCCATTGGTTTTTTTTACTTTAAAAATTATATATTTTATGTCACAAACGCTTTTCGTTAAGACCACAAACATCCAATTTGGCTTGGCGTAATAAAATCAGCCGGAGCTCCCTTAAACGGAGCCATTGCGGAGAATTAAGTTGTGAAATCTAATCTATTATATCCATAAAGGAGAATGCTTTCATTGTAAATTCAGGTTATAAAGAAACTATACCTAGGCCACCAGCCTCCCTTTTGGATTTGCTACTTGAAGACTTATCAAATTACTTCAGAATGTTGGGCTACCCTCTCCATATCTCAAGGCAACAAAAATTAAAAGTGGCAACATTTCTTTTAATAGTACAAAAGGTCAGAAAATCTGCCACAACAAGGAGATATAATTTTAAACCCCCCCTCCCACTGTTGGGAAGCGCCCTTACTATTTTCCCAATTAGAGTTTAAAAATCTAAATGCGACAAGACCAACTTCTTTCTAGCTCCGTATGGGGGGCGGTCATCTGGAGCGAAGTCCCGGGTGGGCCGCACGTGCGCCCCGCAGAACACCTGCGGGATCGGGGTGGGGCGCCCACTCCCCACCAAGCGCGCCCAACCACTGGCCCGAGGGCGCTTGGCTGGCTTGGGCAATGGCCAGGCCAGACAAAGGAGTCGCCCACCAGGGGTTTATCTGCCCCTCACCCTTCTGGGAAATTGTCCCTCACACACACACTCCACTGGCAGCTTGGAGTGGGGAAGACGCAGCCCTTAATAATATTTATTTGGTCTTACAAACGGGACAGGGATATTTATTGTCCTTCCCGAGCTGACCAGAAGTCGGGGTCACTAAAGACCCTCCACCTTAGCTCCCGAAGAGAGGTGTTTGGGGGCGACGGCGAGGAGATCGATAAGTTTCTAAATTCCCAGGGAACTGGAGGACGCGGCTTTTGTCAGGCCTGCGAAAAAGATTTATGAGGCGCCGGCGGAGTGTCGGGCTAGCTTCGTCCAGGCTGCCAGCGCACCCCGTCTAATCTTTGATTTCCATCTAATTATTTTTTTTCCTGCCACCTCCGACTCAGTGTCCGGAGAGGCGAACAAAGAGAGGGGGATGGGACCGCATGGCATCTGTGCAGGTTGGCCGGGGAATCCCCCCTCCTGCGGGTACCCCGCAGTGCCCTAGGCCCGCGGCCTGTGCGGGTGATGCAGGAAAAGGGGTGGCCTGGGGCCGCGAGGGACCCCGCTCCGCAGCGGGGCCTGGGCTAGCGAGCGAGCGCCGTCTCCTCGGGTAGGGCCCGGAATCGGAGCAGGCCGCACTGCACCCGGCAGGCATCCAAGGAGGGATCCCAGAATTGCCCACCAGCGGTGGGAGCACAAACAAAAAATTTACCCTAAATTTAAATTAAGGTGGCCGTGGGGGCGGGGGAATAGACGGCTCAGCCTTTGGCAAGTTTCTTTGCTCCCGGCTCAGAAAAGTATCCCTCCCCACCACCAAGAGTAAAGGAAGAGAGAAATTTGGGTTTTCGCGTTGGGGAAAAAATAATCCAAAATGAAAAATGATTTTATTGGTCACCACCCATAAGTCAACTAAAAACAGGGATAATTAGAGTGTGGGGAATTAGGGGGACCATAAATCTGCGGAGCCCTTTCCACCGGAGTCGGGAGCGTTTATAGCTTTAGTTTTATTTGAGAGAAATGAGGTCCAGGGCTTTGGTGGACGCGGGTCCGCACCCCGCGCGCCACGCGGGACCGAAAGACAACGCGCGCCCGGGGCTTTGGTCCGCGGAAGGAAGGTGGTCACATGGGCTGCGCGCCTTGCTCCAAAACGGCTCCTTCCCAGGCCCGGGTCCTTTTCTCTCCCCAGCCCAGAAACCACATTTTGGGACGAGCGGGCGAGTCATTTTCCTCCCTGTCCAGACTCCAAGAAATATTCCTGTGTGCCTCGGTCGGGTCTGGGAGGCGAGGGATTTTTGTTACATGCTCCATCCCACTCAGGGTTCCCAAACTCCCAGCCTATCCTACACCCTTCGCCTCCGCCTTTTGTTCTCATTTACTGGGGGGAGGGGAAGAGACCACAAATTACTCCCCCTACATATCTTCGCCAAATTACTTAATTTTCAATCTTTGCGAAACGGCCAAGAGTAAATTTCATTCCATAGGGGTTTTCATCCCACCGACTGGAGAGTATTTTCCAAATTCCCACACAGCTAGGACCCTTCTCCTCTTCTGAAACAGACTTCCAAAGAAACCTCCCCAAGCAAACATCATCTAAAATCCTATTAATCAGGTAAGAAAGTGGGCAGAGCCCTGGCTCAGCTGTTTCTTAACTTTGGCAAGGGAAAGTGAATTCTCTTTTTTTAAGGAACTCTAAAAACAAAAGCTCCTTTCCTTCGGTTTCTCTTCAATCTTCCCTTTTTTGGGGTTGTCCTTCTTAAGAACGGGGGCGGGGAGACCTGAAGGTCTACAGTCAGAAGAGTTCGCCCCCAAAAAAACGATTCTCCAAAAATTTCTTTTGTTTGAAGTGGGCATGGGGGAGGGGAAGGAGGCTGCTCCAGTCGGACAACCGACCTCCTCCGACCAGAAAAGACCCCAAAGTCCACAGGCCTCTCCTAGCTGCAAGCCCGGGGTGTCTAGGACCGGGAGTGGGTCGTACCGGGGCGACAGGAGCTGCTCACCCGGCAGCCGCCAAGGTCGAGCCTTCCCTGCCCGGGATTCCTTCGACACTTCCTTTCAAATCGAGCCTGCCTGCTCGGAACAGAATCCGAGTTTTCCAAGGGCAGGGGTGGAGACGACTGCAGAAAGAAAGCTTGCTGTACCAGCTGAGGCCCAGGCTGGGCGCCGTTTCGTTGGCGAATTAAATGCCACCGGGAGAAAAGGGACGCAGATTTCCACTGGGCCCTGTTCCTGCTGGTCTCGGGGTGAGGGTAGATGGGCGCCCGGGTGAAAGCTCTAGTAACACCACGTGGGGCGTCCACCCTGCAGAAAGACACGTTTACAGCGAACGGCTCCTACACACCAGCCGGGTTTATTCATTCCCTCCCGAGAGCGGGCTCCGGGCGCGCGGGAAACAAGGAAAACGCACGTACCTGGCGGTGCTCCGAGGGCGGCCTCGCGGGCCTTCCGCTGGCGAGGGGCCCCTCGAAGCCACTCCCCACCCGGCTAGTGGTCCCACGGCCCATCCCTCCCTCCCCGGCGACGCACCCGCCAAGCCAACTCTCCAGGAAGCGCAAGAAGCCGGAGACCTGGCCTGCCTTCGTGGTCGCCGCACATCCCGCCCGTGATCCGCAGAGGGTCCCCGCGGGTCCGGGGGGGACTCCGGGCCCGGGAGCGGCGCAAGGGATGCCGATCGGCGGATCCAGTTGCAGGCTCGGCCCAGCCTTCTGCGACCGGGCTCTGGCATTCCCGGGTTGGCGGGCCCGCTGCAGAGACAGACACGGAGCTTTCGGGGAAGAAGGGGCGGCCGCGGTCCAGGTAGGAGTCCCCGGGCGGGAGGGGTGCAGGGTGGAGGGGCAGGCGGGCGCGGGGCACCCTGCGGCCGCAGCCCTCCGGGGCGCCCCGCCCCCACCGCCCCACCTCCGTGAAGGACAGCGCCTCCGCCCGCCGCGATCCCCCCTCCCTCCCGCGCGCGCAGTGGCCCGCGCACGCCCAATCACCTCCAACCGCCGCCGATCCCTTTGTCTGGGCCGCCGTAGCAGGCCAATAGGATCGCTTGGGGGCGCGGGCGGCACGCGGGTTGATCAATGGGTGCACTCGAGGGCGTGGCTTATGAGGAAGCGCTGCGGCCCGAAGGATTCGTAGGGCGCCCGCTGCGGGACTAGAGTGCGGAAGGCCGGTTAGGGCCGCTGCTGCCGGGTTCTGCTCTTCTGAGCCCCGTACTCTATCTATCAAGATAGCACCCGAAAGCCAGCAGGGGGACGTGGGAGGGGACGTCGCAGTTGCAGGAAGCGGGGACGGCGACTTGGAGAGGGTCAGCCCCGCGGCCTCAGAGGACTTCGTCCAGAACAGCCCATCGCGCCCTGGAAGGACACGCGAAGTGCAGGCGACACAGCCTCCCGGGGGAAAGGAGTGCGTTGTCCGTAAATCAGTGTTCCGCTTCGAAGTCACCGGGCTTCTTCAGGCTCATACTCAGGGAGTGCCTGTGGGATTGGTGGCTGATGTCCCAGCCTTACCTAGGAGGAGCAGTGGCCCCTCATTTCCTGAGCTAAACAGCCAGTGCCGGGGAGCAGACCTGGAGGGGACCACAGCCAAGGCTTCGCAGATTGCTGCTCGGGGCCTCCTCACCCCACAGCTCCTATACACCGGGTAAAGCCAGGGTTTCACCATTGCCCTCCTGTGGGGAAGTGGGGGTGGAGATAAACCCCAGAGGGCTGGCTTCTGACTTTTCTCCAATAAAGATTGCTTAGGCGGGCTGCCTTGTGCCCAGAGGAGGACTGTGGTCATTTCTGGCCTCCTGCATCTCGAGAAAGAGAATCCACAGCCTATGGGTTTCTGTGGTCCCAGGCCTTGGTGAAGGTGTTTTTCAAACTTTCCTTGGTTCCCAAACCTTGGCCCCAAGTGAAATCACAAACAAACCAAAATAGAAGAGGAAACGGAAACAGAGCAACATAGTGGACTCGGTGATTAGGATGGACCCGGAGATTAGGATGAGCCCTTTGCTGTGAGATCCAGTTTGTGGGGCCAAGGGAGAAGTGAACCCTGGTGTAAATAAGGTGTGGCATGGTGGAGCTGGAGCTAGGAGAAGAATCTGGTCACAAACATCCCAGGACCTGCCAAGGGCTCAGCCTGAGCAGGTTCATCCCCCATGCCCCTGGCCCCATTGTCACCAAAGTCACCATCCAGTTCTTTGTTGCCAAAACCACTGGACAGTGACCTCTAAGGCTCTGAGGGTCATAGGGATCAGCTGTTCCCCAGGAGACTAAAGGTAGCCTGGAGAGCAGGCAGGGGCTTCCAGCAACCTGACCTCGTCCAGTCACCACTGCATTTCACAGACCCAGATCGATATGGCCTTGAAGATGCAGCTCCCAGGGATTAAGCATCCAAGGCCTGGAACCTGAACCAGTTTAGAGGCCTCGAAGGGATTGAATCAAGATATAGGTTTGGACAGTTCCTAACAGTCTCTGTTCCCACCCTTGAGCCCAGGAAATGATAGAAAAATGTTAAAACCCATTATAACCAGAGAACTGGAAGCGTACCTGGGGACATGAGTAGACTGTCACAGGGGCTGGAGAGGAGACCACAGGTTTAGAGCTGGCAGGGATGGTAGCTTTGAGGTAGTCATGCTCAGAGGCTTCCCATCACCCATACCAGAGGGTTATTGGGGTAGAGGCCAAGCCCTCCCTGGCTGTGTTCAGCTGGGGACAGTGGACAAGACATCCTATTGGCAAGTAGCACCTGGAAAGATCAGAGAGTCCCCTGTCCTCACGCCCAGCACTGATGCTTGCAGCAACCTGCCTGGCCTGCCACAGTCTTGAGGCTGCTGAACACTTGCTGATGGACCAACAGAACCTCACAACCTGAGGTGACACATCAGGTATGGCTCCCTGGGGTGGGGATGTAGATTGACCCTTCCAGGGTTCCCTAGCAAGGGGTGTGGCCATGCAGCCAGTTCTGCTAAAATGAGTGGCCTTGGTGCTCCCCCGGTGTCTCCTCTCTGCCGCTGTCTCCTTTCCGCAGGCTCGAGGGCCTGGGTGCCCACAACCAAAGTAAACCAGCAGTGAACAACAGAACTACCATCAATCTGGGTGCCGAGTGGCTTGGGCAGTCAAGACCAAAGTGGAACCGTGGCCACGCTCTCAGAGAGGAAGGTGCTTCCCTTTTGTTTGGGCTGTTATGCCAGGCTGTATATATCAGCACCATCAAAAGTACAGTTAATTTAGCTCAAATTGATCTCAGACTAAATAATTCGACCTGGTTCTTGAATTTTATATCCACTTCCTTGCAATAGCCTCTGGGTGGGTGGTGGGCACACCCCTCTCCTTGGCTTTAGTCCTGGTATTGTGGTTCGCTCTGGCCAGTGGGATGTTTCAGATGTGAAGTGATCAAAGGTGTGGAATGTGCTGGCAAGGCCAAAACTGCCCCATGGCACAGTGGAGAATGAATCATATGGCGATGGGAAGACACTGGTCCCAGGAGGCACGAAGCTGGAGCAGGTGGCAGCTCACCTTACATCCCAGAACCCAGGTCCAGCCTGGCTTGGTGGGCTCAGCTGGCTGGGAGGCACTCACTGCTGTTTTAAGGTAGAATCCTCATTGCTGTTTTAAGCCACTCTGGGGTGGTTCTTTATGAAGCATCATGGGGACAGCTGACTAAGAGGCCTGTGGGATTAATGCTGAAGTCAGTGTACAGGGCACTGGAGGGATGGGACCCTAGAATATGTGGCATCAGCTGAGCACTGGGGAAACTGGGCAAGGGGTAGGAAAGAGCCAGAACCTTAGTATGCTGGCTGCTATTGCGGCTCTACCCGGTCCTGCCAGAGAGACAGCAGCCCAGAAATGTGGGCTTGCTGGTTGGAAGAGGCACTGTTTATACCTCAAACAGTAGGAGAGAAGATTCTTATTGCTTCAAGGCCGGCAGCAGAGACAGCTCAGTCAAATAAGAGGGCTTAGGCCTGTGGCAGAGCTCAGATTAAGAATCAGGTTGCCGAGAAGGGATCAGATAATTGAACACGACCTGGGCTGTCAGTGGGATCAGTGCAACTAGGGAAGCTGCATCTGGATCCAATGAGCAGACCCTGGCCCCTGGCCACGCCAGGCTGCCACAGGGTCTTCCTCTTGAGGTGACCTTCTCTGTGGTGACCTTTTCCATGTGTGGGAAGAAGCAAGGGTACTCCTGAATACCTGAAGGCCAGAGGGCAGGCTGGACATCCTGCTGTCCACCCAAAGCAGTTCCTCTTCTCATGGGACACCTGTCTGCACCACCTCCCTGGGCCCCTATGGTAGATGAGCACCAGTTTCAGGCTCACACAGTTGTCCTGTGGTTTCCCTTCCCATAGAGTGGGGGCAGTCATGCACAGAAGCCACACTGATGATGGCAGAGCAGCCATCACCTCTGGGACCTGAGTGGCTATGTGGAGCACACTGCCTCAGGTCAGCAGTAAATAAACTGCTAAGGTGTGTGACGTGGAAAAGCCAGAGCTGGGCGTAGTAGCCCACTTGTGTAATCCCTGGTACTTAGGAAGCTGAGGCAGCAGAACCACACTTTAAAAAAAAATTAATTAAGTTTATTGAGTACATTTTAAGTATAATGATCACATTCATCATGGGGAATTTGTACCTGTACATGGTATATCTTGGTTCTCTTTTTTCCCCTTTTCCCTACCCTCCCTTCAACCTCTCTTCCCCTCCATATTTACAAAAGCTTTGTTTCCATTTTTCCTTTTTTTCACGTTTTTTTCTTTTCACTTCCTTCCTTTCCCCACCCTCATCCTCAGTTCCCCTTCCCATTTGAACATTTTCTTCAAATTTCACAATATTTATTATAAATTTTGAGGACCACAAATTTTAAAGTCCAATCTGGGTAACTTAGTGACTTTGCAAGACACTGTTTCAAAATTTTTTTAAAAAAATTTTAAAAGAGCTCGGGAGGTAGCTCAGTGTGAAAACCCTAGGTTCAGTCCCCAGTACTGGGGTGGAGGAAGCAACAGTTTTTACAACACACAGAATATTTCAAGACAGCACTAATAATATGTTCAGAGAGAAAAGACAGTTTTTGTTTTTATAAAAAAATCTGGGGACTGGAGGTGTAGCTCAATGGTAGTGTGTGTTTAGCATTTGTGAGACCCTGGGTTCAGTCCTCAGCACCAAAAAAGAAAAGAGAAAACAAAGACTCTAAAAAGAAAAAAAATACAAAAATCATCAAAATAAAAAAGCTGGGGAAGTGAATGCTCAGATGATTTTTGCTTTCTTCTTTACAATTTTCTGTATCAATTTCACAAGAATATATTATTTATATACTCGAGAAAAATAAAACCATGTTCATTTGAGAAAATAAAAATAAGCCTTAAAAGATACCTTCTAACAGTCAGCTAGGTATCTTGGGAAATAAAAAATTGGAGACTGGAAATAAAAATGCTCACTAGGTGGGGCAAGGAGTGGAATGGCCTCAGCCGAGCAGTGGCCTTGTGGGCTGGAAAGTCAAGCTGAAGAATTCTCAAGGCCAGAGACGAAAAGGACAAAACATGTAAGTGTGAAGCAAAAGTTAAGAAACATGGCAAATGGGCCCATCGTTTCCTACATCCACTTAAATGGAATTCCAGAGGAGAAAGAAAAGAAAAGGAACTAATAAAACTGTCCAAGGCTGGAAGAGAAACACTCAGATAACACTGTAGAATGCAGGAAAGAAAAATAAAAGTTCCCAGTACGGGAAAAAAACAGAAGAAAAAGCCCGACATCTGCTGTGGCAACTTGAGATTCGGCAACAATGGAGGGGCACCTTCACAGTTCACAGGGACAAGGATCACAGCCTGTGATCCCAGGCCAGCCCTAACAGCCTTCAGGGGTAAGGAAAAACAAACATTGTTTTGGTCATGCCAAGTGTGCAGAGTTTATTTCCAACAAATACTATCTGAAATAATGACTGGATTATGTGCTCTAGCAAAACAAAAATAAATAAACCCAAGAGGAAGGCAGGGAACCCAGGAGCCAGGAAACTGATGCTTATCGGGGCACCCGTGTTGGGAAACGCTCTTGGCAGGCTGGGAGGAGGCTCCAGATGACCTCAGAGTGGACAGAGGCAGGAGAAGGAGGAGGGGAATAAACAGCAAGAAAGGCCGGGTCTTGCCAATGGGATTACACAGATTCCGGTGAGTTCTAGATGGGTCAGAAGGTGTAAATTCAAGTACATAGTGAATATATAACCCTGAGGCTATGATGCAAGCTCAGGGGTAGAGCATTTGCCTAGCGTGGGCAAAGCCCTGGATTCCATCCTAAGTATTGCAAAAAACTATTTTAATTAAATGAAATGTAACCAGTAGATAAAAAGAACATGATATAAACCTTCCCAACAAATGGAAGAGACAGCTTGGCATACGTAACCAAGGTGGGGGAGGGGGTACGCAGAAGGACAGAGAGCATAGTGACTGAGGCCAGTGCCAGGCACCAGGAAAAGTCCAAGTGTATTAGTAATTACAAGAAATGCTAACGAGTTAGTCATGGAACAAAAGACAAACACTTGGCTGAGATACAAATTTAGAATCCTGAATCGGGCATGGTGGAATACCTGTAATCCCAGCACTCAGGAGGCTGAGGCAGGAGGATCACCATGAGTTCCAGGGCAGTCTGGGCTACATAGTGAGACCCTGTCTCAACTACCACCACCACAACAAAATGAAAAAAATTCAGAATCCAGACAAACTACTGAACTGACCTACTCTAGCAGCTGCCCACTCTGGTCGTTGCTGTAGGTAACCTGGGTCTGTGGAAAGCTCATGGGGAGAATGGGGGTCCCAGCCCTTGGATAGGACAGTATTATTTTGTTTCCATTGATGTCTCACTAATACAAGGGCTGATCAAAAAATATGGTGTGTGTTAAAATTTTTAAAATTTATTACAGCTGGTCTATAATTGCAATACTGTGAGGCTGAAGAGGAGGATTACAAGTTTCAAGGCCAACCTGGGCAATATATTGACTTAGTGAGCCCCTGTCTCAAAATTTAAAAAGGGCTGTGCCTTAGTGTGAAGGCTCTAGGTTCAATTCCCAGAAACACAAGAGAATAAATAATAATTAAAGAAAATAAAAATTTATTACAATAAAAGACACATTGTCATTAATCCCCCTCAAAAGACTCTCCCTGGATTTGAACTTATCCCATCATCCTTGCCACTCTGAAGCAGTTCCTGAAGTCCTCTTTCATGAGTGTCTTTATGAGGTTTAATTTTTTAAAAATACAGTGGATGCTGCTACTAAGTGCCACCTAGCAGCAAAGGCAGATTCACAAAAACATTACAGTGTGCCTTCATCCACCTTGTTCACCAGGTCTGACACCATGTGACTTCTGACTCTTCCCCAGAGTCAAACTGATATGAAAGTAAAGTGTTTTGAATCGATTCAGGAACATTGAGGCAACCATGACAGTGCAACCAAAGACACTCATGAAAGAGAACTTCCAGACCTGCTTCAGAAAGTGGTAAGAATGATGGGATTAGTGTGTTTAAAGAAAGGGGATATTTTGAGGGGATTAATGGCAATGTGTCTTTTACTTTTAATTTTTAAAAATTTAAATATTCACAGTATCTTTTGATCACACCTTGTGCTTCGCATTCCTTCACCGAGTTAAGGACAACTAAATATTTTCAAATCAACCTGCAATTATTACAGGGATCTCTGTCAGTACTTGAAAATTCTGGTAGATTTCTTTTTTTTGGTTTTTTTGGGTTTTTTTTCCGGTACCAGGAATCGAACTCACAACCTTCCACTTGCCAGGCAGGCACTGTGCTGCTGAGCTAAATCCCCAGCCCCTCTGGTAGATTTCTAATGTGTCAATAAAAGAGCACGTCACACATCAGAACTTTTGTGATACAAACATATAAAATATATACAAAAATCATATAAATGCTTTGACTACTGTGTTTCATTATAAGTTTCCTTTAAAAAAATCTATGTGTTTTCTTTCATGTATTTAAATACATTTTGAGAAGGGGACCTAAGACTTCACCAGGTGCCAAAGGTTCTAGCCAATCATGGTGATTCTGCAGCTGTGGCTAGAGCCAGGTTGGATGGACTTGACCCAGTTCAGCACAATGGACATCAAGGGACCTTTGTCACCCAGCTCCAGGACAAGTATTTAATTTGTGCTAGGGCACCAGCAGACATGCTCCCTTGCCCTAGATCCTTTGGATCAGGGTAAGAGGCCTGCAATTACCACTGACCTCTGCCCAGCCCCAAGCAGGATTGACACTTTTCCTGTTGCTGAGCTG